AAATACTATCATTACAATAGGATTGTATGGCAGCTGATAGTCAAAAGAGGGAGTGGTGAGTGAGTGAGTGAGGTCATGTGAGTGAGTGAGTGAGTGAGTGAGCTAAGTGCAGTTTTTGGCAGTATATCAGTTACATCACATCTCCATGGAATGTAGAAGACAACTCAAACTGACATTCCATGTACATCACTGAGGTAAACCCCAGAGCAGGTGTATGATGCCGACAACCCAAGAATTAAATCTGAACCTGGGATCTGAACTCAGGATCTGGCATACCTAAGGGAGGTAACTCTGCATTGCAAATTGTCCTTAAAGATGGATTTGGCGACACTTGTCCCATCTAATATGTAAACACTGAGAGATCCATAATCTAATAAAACATATATCAAAAGTAAATAAAATCACCAAAAACAAGCAAAGGAAGTGACCATAAATATATCAGAATTCCTTGATTCAGGTTCAACACAACAACCAATGTTCACACTTTGAACATGTATGTTAAAAGTATTCACTTAAAAATATTTGTATGTTTCATAAAATAAAACTCACACCAAAAAAAGAAAAGAAACAAATCAAGGTTTCCATCCCAATTTAAATTTTTTTTATTTAATTAATTTCTGAAATAAACAGATTCTGGTGACGTAAAGAGACACATCTCAAAACATTGTAAATCGAGTAAAAATGGTCACATAATGATTGACCCAAACTTATATACAAATACACTTCGATGTAACACACAAGTTTTCATTAGCGGAACAAAATGTCTCACCAGGGTTGTGGTGTCGTGTGGTAAAAAATGAGCAGACAATTTTATTTTGCGCTCATGTCCACATTCATCCAACAAACACACAAACATTCCTTGAAACATACAGAGATATCCTGAGCATTTATGCACCTTCAGGGCTTGAGGAAACAAAACCTACTTGTACTCAACACGGGGAGAGTTCTATGGATATACAACTTCTTTATTATTAATGTGAGTGATGTTTCGGTATAAATGCCAATACAGTTATCACGCCAGTGTTAGCAGCTACACCAAAACATCACTCACTTTAATAAATGAAAAAGTTGTATATCCATAGAACTCTCCCTGTTGTTCATCACTCCAACTTCTAAATGCCACTCAAAGAAGCTACTTGCACTCAGTGCAACCTTGGCCAATAACCTTGTTGCACAAGACAAAACAGGTTGCACCTGCTGCTCAATGTATATAATGCTTGCGTTTTGGTTTTAATGACTTAGAACAGTATAACAAAATTAAACTGGGTCTGATAAGCCAGTTCCTCATCTTTCCGTTTTCCAGCTGAAGTTGGTATCCTTTGAACAGCAGAATATTTATATACACTGGGTGCAAGTTGGTATAAATGAGGTTGCACAATGTTGCACCATGCTTAAATCGAGCCCTGTTTGTATCATCCATGTAAACTCTTTATGAAAGTTCTTTAGAAGTGATACACAACATTGTAAGAATACTTGCACCTGGTGCAACCTTAGGTAATAACATTGTTGCACCAGACAAAAACAGGTACGAGCCCTGATTTTCCTTGAAACACAAAGAGATATCACTGGACTTTTATATACACTGGCTTTTTGCGATGTGATGCATTGGGGTGCAGTGTTATAACTGTATTACAGAAAACTATGGCAAAAAATGAACTGACAGAAATTGTTGCACCAGATAAAAACAGGTATGAGCCCAGACTCTCCTTGAAACACAAAGAGATATCCTTGGTCTTTTACATACACTGGCTTGTGGCGATGTGATGCATTGGGGAGCAGTGTTATAACTGTATTGCAGAAAACTATGGCAAAAAATGCATTCACATACATCAAGTATCCATTTAAACATATTGAATGTTAACATACATATGTGTATGTATTAATTCACAGTACACATATCGACCCCGATTTCTTGAAACAAACCTCAGTCTGAGTTTTGACTTAAATTTTTACTCAAATTTGAGAAAACACAGGAAAATGCATTTCCTGGAATAAACTTAAATCAATCTTTAAGGCATAGACTATTATAGTTTGGTAGACAGGTTACTTAAGATGCTTTGGCTTTTTGATTTTACAAATGCAGTTGAGTTAGAAATTTAACTGTTTCAAATTGTCAATCTCATTTTGAAATTTGAGTAAAAACTTAAGTTTGTTTCCAGAAGTCAGGATGGTATCCACAAGTGTTCAGACAAATGTTCAAGCATACACATGTACATATATTCAGTGAAATTCAAGTACGGAACTAATACTATTAAATTGAATGATTTCTCTCATCTAAAAGTGAGAGAGTTTGGGTTTACGCTGCTTTTAGCAATATTCCAGCAATATCATGGCGGGGGACACCAGAAATGGGCTTCACACATTGTACCCATGAGGGGAATCGAACCCAGGCCTTTGGCGTGACGACGAACGCTTTAACCACTAGACTACTGGAACTGGAAGCACATTTGTGCATTGCAAAAAACCCTGAGTATCATTAACAGTATTGATATTCCAGCAATGTCATGGCAAGGGACCTGAGAGATGGGCTTGACACTGTGTTCAATGGGGGGGATTTGAACCCCAGTCTTTGGCATGAGGAGTGAACGCTTTAACCACTAGGCTAAACCCTCATCTAAAAGGGCTATGATTGTTTTGTTTGTTGTAACACCGCACTCAGCAATTTTTCAGCTACGTGGCGGCGGTCTGTAAATAATCAAGTCTCGATCAGACAATCCAGTGATCAACAGCATGAGCATCGTTCTACGCAATTAGGATACGGTGACATGCGTCAACCTGACCACCCGATCCTGTTAGTTGCTTCTTACAACAAGCATGGGTTACTGAAGATCGATATTCTAACCCGGATCTTCACGGGTAACACAATTAGGATACAATGACAAGTGTCAAACAAGTCAGCAAGCATGAAGCCTAACCACCTGATCCTGTTAGTCGCCTCTTAAGACAAGCATGGGTAGCTGAAGACCAATTATAATCAGGATCTTCAAGGGTTACAGTACTGTTGGTAATGAAGAAGAGAAGGGTGGCAGGTGTTGGGTGACAGTTAATGACACCTTAATGCGCCGCGTCCATACCTTTAGTAACAGTGATACAATAATACTGATCACCTCCAGATTATAGCTGTTAATACCTAAGTGTCAAGCCACAAAGATTATATATCACAAGAGGATGATCACAACACCCTGAGGGTTACTATAGCAACCTTAATGTCACCAAATGATAATTAGTTTTATAATTGCCATAACCAAAGGCTATCATCGTTGACCATATACCAGTTTGATTAACAAGATTGTGCTTTGGTAGTTAGCCCGTATACATATTTTAAGTTTTTTTTTGGAAAACAACAAAAATACCTAAAATTAGAAAAATATAGAGACTTTTGACAATGTATCTTTTGGTAAGCTATGCATTCTTACAATAAAACACCAAACAATTATCTTTTGGTATCTAGCTATTCTGAGACGTTTTGTTTGTCATTTGTGGAATTACTCACTGGAAGGTTTCAATTATTTGTTTGGTATTTTTTCTACATTCTATACAGAATTTTGTGATAGACTAATATAAAGTTACTTGGGGTGAAACAGTACGCTCTTACCACGGTACGGTACGTATCGCGGTACAAGGCTTTCGGTTCGGTATATGAGATATGATCATAATGCAGAAAATTGACAACAAGAGCCAAACCTTACATTGTTTAATAACATGGAAAAAAATAACCATAATCTTTGTTATTTTGAATGAACAAAACTGTCATTTCATGACTGTGTGGCACAATAGCAAGTAGCCAAGTATGATTAAAAGTCACTAACATCACATCAGCATTTACAGCAGTGAAATGACCACGTCCCAGAAAATGTTCATGCTTAAAAACAACAACAAGTGTTTGCCACTTATATGGCAATGTCCCCCGCCGCTAAAGAATGGAATATCTATATTTACTACTTTTTATTTTGGGTCACATACAAGATGCCTGAAATGACTGGTGTCTGCATAATCACCCGATGTAGGCTGTCAACATACTTGAAACATTGGGTGCAATGTTTTATGAGATATCGCCTTTAAAAAGCGGTCAAAGTGTCGTGGTGACCTTGAAGATAAGGTCACCCAACTCGACTGGTGTCTGCGTAATCCCCTAATGTAGGCTGTCACCAAATTTCAAGACATTGGGTGCAACAGTCCATGAGATATCACGTTAACAAGAGTTTGAAAAGTGGTCAAAGTGTCGTGGTGACCTTGAAAATAAGGTCAAGGTCACCCTAATCAACTGGTGTCTGTGTAATCCCCCAATGTAGGCTGTCACCAAATTTGAAGACATTGGATACAACAGTGCATGTGATATCACGTTAACAAGAGTTTGAAAAGTGGTCAAAGTGTCGTGGTGACCTTGAAAATAAGGTCAAGGTCACCCAAATTGAACGGTGTCTGCGTAATCCCCCAATGTAGGCTGTCACCAAATTTGAAGACATTGGGTATAACAGTTCATGAGATATCGCGTTAACAAGAATCGGGACGTACGTATGCCGCTAAATACATAGTCCCCCGTTCCGCGTTGCGGCGGGGGTAAAAATGAAATCAATGAAGATCGTTTCATTATGAGTTTTCTGACATCATACTATATGTTTTCGGATGGCAGTGTTTACTCGCGCTATATAATGTGTTGTGTTGCATCACAGCAAACATCGTATGTACTCGGCTGATGGTGTGTCTTTACGAAAACGTTGTCTCTTACAAGTTATTACGATGTTCCGCTGTTCATCTGATTTGAAATAACTGAAAAAAGATACAGAACCCAGTTACTGGTACCACTGGTATCTGCAGTTGCTGCCTTGCTGACTTTGTAAGTAGACGACTTGAGGGGATCTCGCACATCCATGAAAATAGCGGCCGTCAAGCAAAGAAATGCATAGATTCGATTTCTAGACATTTTAGAAAAGGTTTAAAAGAATTATGAAAACGACGGTACGAAAACCGAAAATATTGAAATTTGGATTGCATTACGGTATACCAAACCAAAGGCAAAATACCGCGGTTCTACTAATACCGCAGTATACCGTTTCACCCCTAAAAGTTACGGCTTAATGGAAATCACTCCTTGAGATCGCTCCTTGAACATTGAACATGTGAAACCTGGCTTGATATGTTGTTAACCTGGGACGTAAGTGATGGGTGAGTTTCCTCGCGGTTTGGCTTTGACAGGCAGTTCAACAAAAGGTCTCTGAGCATGTTTGGCCTTCACTAACTCCTCCGCGATGTTGATGTCGATGTTTCCTGTTGTGTCGTATAGATCCACGTGAAGACAGCCACTCCACGATCTGGAAGCATAGCCAACAGGAGAACATGAAGACTTTGTAGCTCATCTGAATTGTGAATCAATTTTTGCGACTTCATGGATAATGTGAGCATTAGTAGTGGTGATTATTCATACAAAGCTTTATGCATGGTCCATGGTGTATGTTTGTCAAGGCTGCCCATTTCACAAGGCTCACAGACACCTGCTCACTTTACTCAGTGAGTGAGTGAGGTTTTAAGCCGCTTTTAGCAATATTCCAGCAATATCACTGCGTGGGACACCAGAAATGGGCTTCACACATTGTACCCATATTGAGAATCGAACCCAGGTCTTCGGCGTGACGAGTGAATGCTTTAACCTCTAGGCTACTCTACCGTCCCTGCTTATTTTACTGAGTGAGTGAGTCAGCATGGTTTTACGCCAATTTTAGCAATATTCCAGCAATATCACTGCGGGGACACCAGAAATGGGCTTCACACATCGTACCCATGTGGGGAATAGAACCTGTGTCTTTGGCATGACAAGCGAACGCTTTAACCACTAGGCTACCCCACCACCCCAAAGAGATAAAAGTGGTATAGCCCTTGGACATTTACATTTTTGATGGTCACGGTGTGGTGTAAAGGTTCATGAGGACGTCTGGGACTCGAGTCATGATGGTTCAAACCACTGATGAAATGCTGCTTTGTGTTTTTATTGTTACTGACAAATTTCAAGAAAACTACAAAGACTTACTTCATCCTGATCAGGGCTACCAACGTTTTCCCATCAACCAGCTCGCGGAAACAGGTCCTGGAATGTAAAAAACCACATGTTAACTGTGTGAAGTTATTACCACTCCGGCTGAGGGGGTTGTTGTAGAATAGCTCTTGTTGGAAATCACAAATGTACCCAAGCTTAAGAAGATACAACACTGAAGCAAGGATGAGTTAGATCTACAGTGGCTGAAGAACACTTCCAGGGTTCTGACTCCTGAAGCTTTCCGAAAATTGGGAAATACCGAAGCAGTTTGTTTGCTCACAGTTTAACACTGGACACAGCATTTTTCAAGCTATATGATCACACTCTGAACATGTCTGGACCAGACAATCCAGTGATTGACATCATCGTCATCAATCTACCCAATTGGGATACAATGACATGTGCCAACCAAGAGAAGCAAGTCTGACAACCTGATCCTGTTAGTCGCCTCTTATAACAAACTTGGGTTATTAAAGACCAATTCTTATGGGGACTTTCATGAGTATTGTGAATTATTATGCAAGCATATTTTTCCGGCTACCTAATTGGTCTAAAGGCAGTCACTTGACCATCAACAGAAAGGCATATTGACTCCAACCCAGGTCCGACCAAAAGTCATATTGACTTGAGCTACTAAAAATAGATTTTGACGTCAAGCTATGACGTCATTCTATTGTTGACATAATGTTATTGGTTTGTAGCGAAAATAAAATTACTTTTCTAGACTAAATGGACATGTTTTGGTTTTTAGAATCTTTTTTTAGTAATTACATAATAAAACAATTATGGACTGGTGAATTCGGTCAATACCTGTTTTTATGGAGCCGCGAAAAGCAATATTGACCTTGGACGAAGTCAATATTTAGCAATAACAACATAGAATATGATTTAACCATTGTCAATATTGCTTTTCGCGGGTCCATAAAAACAGGTATTGACCTCATCACCAGTCTATTATTGTATAATAGTCACCTTGTGCAAAGTTAATGCTGAGCATAGTTCGCAAAGTTTAGGTGCATTTGTGTTTTCAGCTATTGGTTAGGGTGCATTCAGTGTACAGAAAGGCAGCAGGGGCACATGTCTGTAATAAAATATAACACCAACACGCATGCAGGGTCACCCTTGAAGATCCAGGTTAGAATTGATCTGCAGTAACCCATGTTGTCGTAAGAGGCGACTAATGGGATTGGGTGGCCAGGCTTGCTGACTTGGTTAACACATGTCATCTTATCCCAATTGTGTAGATCAACGCTCATGATGTTGATCACTGGACTGTCTGGTCCAGACTCGATTAATTACAGACCGCCGCCATATAGCTGGAACATTGCTGAGTGCGGCGTAAAACTAAACTCACTCACTCACTCACATGCAGGGGGCGTGAAATGTTAACTTGGCCTTGACTCACCTGGACTCCTCCGTCCACTGACCCTCCTGTCCGGCTGGGTCAGTGTCCACCAGGAAACATTCAACAGCCTGGGGGGTGAGGTGGAGGAACTGGTCCTCCAAGGTCTGGATGTCGCGTTCGCTCACCCACTCTGTGTGGCCGAAGTCAACAAAAAACACCTGTAGAAACAACACCAAAGTTTCAAATATCGATGTCAACATGTCTGACCCTCATATGTGAGGTGCTTGTGTGGTGAGGTGGGGTGAAATGGGGGCTGTGGTGTGTCAATGTAACGTTCAAGATTATTTATTGTGAATGTGCTTCTGCTTGTAGTGGTCCAGACTAACTGAGGTTGTACATCGCTATACTACTGCAGGGGCAGATACAGAGAGGTGCACCCCCAGCGTTCTAAATAACTGCCGGTTGTTATTGTATCCGGCCAGCAGTTTCAAATATTTGCAGGCCCTTGTGGCCTTCACTGAATTATCTGTCATTTTATCTTTCTTTCAACTAGAATCGTTCCCATAATTATTTTTTTTATCAATGTTCGGGAATCAAGCATGATCCATCATGTTACAATAACTTAAAGTTTCACATCTTGGTATTTCAGCACTTTACGTATAGGAATGTCAACACCAATCTTTAACAAATAGAAACCTCTCTGCGCCATAGGCTTCGCTAATTGATTTTGTAGAAACAGTGTGAAACTGTGTACAGTGTAGTCTATTTTGTTTTTATTGGTTTGACTTCAACAAAATGGGCCTGTGGATTTCATTCAAGGCCTGTAGGTTTTAAAGCCTGCAGGCGGCAGCAGGTCCTGATGGCCAACTGGCAAATTAAAGTATTGCAAATACTGCGAAACCCCCCTTCTTCCTGAAAAATAATTCCCAGAGGAGCATTTTCCTCTAACCTTTGGACTTCATGATATATGTGCACCCCCCTTCTCCTCAATCCTGGATCCACCCCTACACTGAGATACCATGCTGTAGTTTAACATGGATAACCCACTAAAACACAGAGTACCAACTCAAAAACACAGAGTACCCACTCTAACACAGAGTACCCACTCAAACACAGAGTACCAACTCTAACACAGAGTACCCACTCCTAACACAGAGTACCCACTCAAACACAGAGTACCCACTCTAACACAGAGTACCCACTCAAACACAGAGTACCAAACTCAAACACAGAGTAACCACTCTAAACACAGAGTACCCACTCTAACACAGAGTACCCACTCTAACACAGAGTACCCACTCTAACACACAGAGTACCCACTCTAAACACACAGAGTACCCACTCTAACCCCCACTCTAACACAGAGTACCCACTCAAACACACAGAGTACCCACTCAAACACAGAGTACCCACTCTAACACAGAGTGCCCTCTAACACAGAGTACCCACTCAAACACAGAGTACCCACTCCTAACACAGAGTACCCACTCAAACACAGAGTACCCACTCAAACACAGAGTACCCACTCAAACACAGAGTACCCACTCTAACACAGAGTACCCACTCAAACACAGAGTACCCACTCAAACACAGAGTACCCACTCTAACACAGAGTAACCACTCTAACACAACCCACAGTACCCACTCAAACACAGAGTACCCACTCAAACACAGAGTACCCACTCTAAACACAGAGTACCCACTCTAACACAGAGTACTCCACAGGTCACTCCAAACACAGAGTACCCACTCTAACACAACAGTAACCCACTCTAACACAGAATTAACCACCCACTCTAACACAGTACCCACTCTAAACACAGAGTACCCACTCTAACACAGAGTACCCACTCAAACACAGAGTACCACTCTAACACAGAGTACCCACTCTAACACAGAGTACCCACTCAAACACAGAGTACCCACTCAAACACAGAGTACCCACTCAAACACAGAGTACCCACTCAAACACAGAGTACCCACTCTAACACAGAGTACCCACTCAAACACAGAGTACCCACTCAAACACAGAGTACCCACTCAACACAGAGTACCCACTCAAACACAGAGTACCCACTCAAACACAGAGTACTCCACTCCCCACTCTAACACAGAGTACCCACTCTACTCACAACACAGAGTACCCACTCTAACACAGAGTACCCACTCTAACACAAACTCTAACACAGAGTACCCACTCTAAACACAGAGTACCCACTCAAACACAGAGTACACACTCTAACACAGAGTACCCACTCAAACACAGAGTACCCACTCTAACACAGAGTACCCACTCAAACACAGAGTACCCACTCTAACACAGAGTACCCACTCAAACACAGAGTACCCACTCAAACACAGAGTACCCACTCTAAGCCAACTAATTCTTGTTTAACCCTCAAGACTGAGCGCCAGGCAAGAGAAACCCTATAACCAATGTTCAGGCACAGTTAAACAAGATATTGTCAAAGTTGAAAGAATCTATTTACCCCAGTAAAATGACTGACTGAGTATGGTTTTACGCCGTTTTTAGCAATATTTCAGCAATATCACGGCGGGGGGACACCAGAAATGGGCTTCACAAATTGTACCCATGTGGGGAATCGAACCCGGGCCTTCGGCATGACGAGCGAACGCTTAACCGCTAGGCTACCCCACAGCACCCCTTAGTAAAATGAGGTTTTACACAACTGAAAAATGATGAATAAGAAAGGACTATGGAGGGAATCTCATACAGAGACAAGTTTGATGCATGAAAGTTCAACAAAATGGTATTGTGAGTGGAAAGTGACAAAGCATTCACTCTTATCACAAATTCAATTTTTCCTGCTTGATATATGTGTTTAATAGCATGATTGTTTGAACCTGCATAGGCAGGTAATTAATCAACACAGCATCAGCTGTTGCTGTACTTTCACTGTGTACATGGCAGCATTTGCCTTTAATGAATCACCTGTATGATCAACTGTGTCAACAAACAGTGACCATGCTTGATCTGGTACATAGAGAAACACCTGGTTTACCTGAGTTGTTTACTGAACTGTCAGGTGACCCGTAGTGACTCATGAGTCAGCAGACACCAGGAAGTCCAGATAAGCACAGTGCCACAACACTGTAGCTCACCTTTCATATGGATTTGACAGATTTCAGTAAAGACAATAATTTTACATAATTGGTGTCCAAATTATTTTTGCATAAGTTCTCAGGACTATTAACTTACAGTAAGAGCCTTGATTGATACCATATATATTGGAACCAAATATACTGGACCAAAACATACAGGAACCAAACTAGACAGGAACCAAATATACTGGAACCAAACATACAGGAACCAAATATACTGGAACTAAATATTTATATTGGAACTAAAAGTACAGTATACTGGAATAAAAAAATACAGGAACCAAATATACCGTGAAGAAAGATGCAAGCCATAATTAACTTCCTCAGTCAGGCAAGTTGCCAGTGTCAAATATGCATTTTCAGTTCTAACCCGGATCTTAACAGGTGTTTGTTAGGAGTGTAGTTTACTGCATGTCATGGAATAGTCAAGGACATTCCATACATGTCAAAGGAATGTGTGCGTAAATGATCAAGGATTATCTATTTCATATTCTCATTAAGATCATGACCTACAGTATACAACAGTGACAGAATTATCTCCACAAACCTCCACTTTTTCATCTTCTGGTGAGGTGTCAGTGACCTTTGCCCTGTACCAGCCAATCACATCTCCATTGTTGAACTTGGCTGCGATCGCCTGGCCCGGTGCCAGCAGCGTGATGTCTCGGTCACTGAAGGACTTGTTCTTGTAGTGGACACTGTGGTCAAGAAACGGTGATTCATGATGCATACCTTCAAACAGTGGTCAATGGATACTTCAAACAACAATAGATAATTTAGAATGCAATTATAACCCTTAATAGAATTAACAGATCTGTATTAAGGTATGATTTCAATACAGTAACACTGACAAGGAAAGATATCTCAGCAGATATACTACTATCACAATCATTTCAGGTTAATTGTACATTGGCAATACATGGTGTTTAGCTGCTAACTGCTTTCCCTAACATATCTACACCATTTCCTTCAGGAGGCTGAAACCCTGTCCAATTGGTACACAATTGCAATATCCACGGTAGGGGACAATGGGCTTCATACATTGGTGGTCTTAGCTGCTAACTTTAACCACTAGGCTACCCCAGCGCCCCTCTCCCTAACAAATCTACACCATGTCCCTCAGGAGGCTGAAACCCTGTCCCGAACAAATCTACACCATGCCCCTCAAGAGGCTGAAACCCTGTCCCTAACAAATCTACATCATGTCCTTCAGGAGGCTGAAACCCTGTCCCTAACAAATCTACACCATGTCCTTCAGGAGGCTGAAACTCTGTCCCTAACAAATCTACATCATGTCCTTCAGGAGGCTGAAACCCTGTCCCTAACAAATCTACACCATGCCCCTCAGGAGGCTGAAACCCTGTCCCTAACAAATCTACACCATGTCCCTCAAGAGGCTGAAACCCTGTCCCTAACAAATCTACACCATGTCCTTCAAGAGGCTGAAACCCTGTCCCTAACAAATCTACACCATGTCCCTCAAGAGGCTGAAACCCTGTCCCTAACAAATCTACACCATGTCCCTCAAGAGGCTGAAACCCTGTCCCTAACAAATCTACACCATGTCCCTCAAGAGGCTGAAACCCTGTCCCGAACAAATCTACACCATGTCCCTTCAGGAGGCTGAAACTCTGTCCCTAACAAATCTACAAATGTCCCTCAGAGGCTGAAACCCTGTCCCTAACAAATCTACACCATGTCCTTCAAGAGGCTGAAACCCTGTCCCTAACAAATCTACACCATGTCCCTCAAGAGGCTGAAACCCTGTCCCTAACAAATCTACACCATGTCCCTCAAGAGGCTGAAACCCTGTCCCTAACAAATCTACACCATGTCCCTCAAGAGGCTGAAACCCTGTCCCTAACAAATCTACACCATGTCCCTCAAGAGGCTGAAACTCTGTCCCTAACAAATCTACACCATGTCCCTCAAGAGGCTGAAACCCTGTCCCTAACAAATCTACACCATGTCCCTCAAGAGGCTGAAACCCTGTCCCTAACAAATCTACACCATGTCCCTCAAGAGGCTGAAACCATGTCCCTAACAAATCTACACCATGTCCCTCAAGAGGCTGAAACCCTGTCCCTAACAAATCTACACCATGTCCCTCAAGAGGCTGAAACCCTGTCCCTAACAAATCTACACCATGTCCCTCAAGAGGCTGAAACCCTGTCCCTAACAAATCTACACCATGTCCCTCAAGAGGCTGAAACCCTGTCCCTAACAAATCTACACCATGTCCTTCAAGAGGCTGAAACCCTGTCCCTAACAAATCTACACCATGTCCCTCAAGAGGCTGAAACTCTGTCCCTAACAAATCTACACCATGTCCCTCAAGAGGCTGAAACCCTGTCCCTAACAAATCTACACCATGTCCCTCAAGAGGCTGAAACCCTGTCCCTAACAAATCTACACCATGTCCCTCAAGAGGCTGAAACCCTGTCCCTAACAAATCTACACCATGTCCCTCAAGAGGCTGAAACCCTGTCCCTAACAAATCTACACCATGTCCCTCAAGAGGCTGAAACTCTGTCCCTAACAAATCTACACCATGTCCTTCAAAAGGCTGAGACCCTGTCCCTAACAAATCTACACCATGCCCTTCAAAAGGCTGAGACCCTGTCCCTAACAAATCTACACCATGCCCCTCAGGAGTCTGAAACCATGTCCCTAACAAATCTACTAATGTCCCTCAAGAGGCTGAAACCCTGTCCCTAACAAATCTACACCATGTCCCTCAGGAGTCTGAAACCATGTCCCTAACAAATCTACTAATGTCCCTCAAGAGGCTGAAACCCTGTCCTTAACAAATCTACACCATGTTCCTCAAGAGGCTGAGACCCTGTCCCTAACAAATCTACACCATGTCCTTCAAAAGGCTGAGACCCTGTCCCTAACAAATCTACACCATGCCCCTCAGGAGGCTGAAACCCTGTCCCTAACAAATCTACACCATGCCCTCAGGAGGCTGAAACCCTGTCCCTAACAAATCTACACCATGTCCCTCAAGAGGCTGAAACTCTGTCCCTAACAAATCTACACCATGTCCCTCAAGAGGCTGAAACCCTGTCCCTAACAAATCTACTAATGTCCCTCAAGAGGCTGAAACCCTGTCCCTAACAAATCTACACCATGTCCCTCAAGAGGCTGAAACCCTGTCCCTAACAAATCTACACCATGTCCCTCAAGAGGCTGAAACCCTGTCCCTAACAAATCTACACCATGTCCCTCAAGAGGCTGAAACTCTGTCCCTAACAAATCTACACCATGTCCCTCAAGAGGCTGAAACCCTGTCCCTAACAAATCTACACCATGCCCCTCAGGAGGCTGAAACTCTGTCCCTAACAAATCTACACCATGTCCCTTAAGAGGCTGAAACTCTGTCCCTAACAAATCTACACCATGTCCCTCAAGAGGCTGGAAACCCTGTCCCTAACAAATCTACACCATGTCCCTCAAGAGGCTGAAACCCTGTCCCTAACAAATCTACACCATGTCCCTCAAGAGGCTGAAACTCTGTCCCTAACAAATCTACACCATGTCCCTCAAGAGGCTGAAACCCTGTCCTAACAAATCTACACCATGTCTCTCAAGAGGCTGAAACTCTGTCCCTAACAACTCTACACCATGTCCCTCAAGAGGCTGAAACCCTGTCCCTAACAAATCTACACCATGTCCCTCAAGAGGCTGAAACCCTGTCCTAACAACTCTACACCATGTCCCTCAAGAGGCTGAAACTCTGTCCCTAACAACTCTACACCATGTCCCTCAAGAGGCTGAAACCCTGTCCCTAACAACTCTACACCATGTCCCTCAAGAGGCTGAAACCCTGTCCCTAAGAACTCTACACCATGTCCCTCAAGAGGCTGAAACCCTGTCCCTAACAACTCTACACCATGTCCCTCAAGAGGCTGAAACCCTGTCCCTAACAACTCTACGCCATGCCCATCAGGAGGCTGAAACCCTGTCCCTAACAACTCTACACCATGTCCCTCAAGAGGCTGAAACCCTGTCCCTAACAACTCTACACCATGCCCCTCAAGAGGCTGAAACCCTGTCCCTAACAAATCTACACTATGTCCTTTACAACTCTACACCATGTCCCTTACAACTCGACACCATGTCCTTCACAACTCTACACCATGCCCCTAACAACTCTACACCATGTCCCTTACAACTCTACACCATGTCCTTTACAACTCTACACCATGTCCCTAACAACTCTACACCATGTCCCTTACAACACCATCTCCCTCGCAAGGCTGCAGCATGTACCTGACTGTAAGAAGGCAACCTGTGAGGTTCCAGGATGGACTTACTTCATGCTTCTGATGAGGTCCTCCAAGGTTTCTTCATAGCCTTCATCATCAACTGTCACAAAGACGATATGGCAGCTTTAGAAAGTAAATGCATTTGAACAAAGTTACAACAAACAACACAAAATGTGGAATGTGGAACTGAATACATTCCAAAGTCTCATCAAACACATTCCAAAAGGTCATATTTCTGGACACACTACTCACCTCCTTTCTGTTGTTCTTTGAGCTGTTCGATGGGTTTGCCACCGAAGGGAAGGGTGAGATAGAAGTGCCGTGGACTGAGGATGCTGGTGACCTCCACAGCAACCATGCATCCCTCGTCTGGCAGCAGCTCCGTCTGGTCATCCTCCAGGGCTACAACAGGCTCCTGGTCCTGAGTGATGCCTGGAACATGGAGAGGGTTGATCGTCTGGGTCAAGAAGTGAGTCTAAATGTTAGTCAAGAAGTTAGTAAGGGAGTGATCCAAGGACACAATGATTCAAGGAATGAGTCTAGGGGAAAGTGGTGTAAGGAGAAAGTGATTCAAGGAGTGTGTCAAGGATAAAGTTATTCATGGAATCAAAAAGACAGTGATTCAAGGAAAAAGTCTAGGTGGCTTATCAAATAAGAAAGTGTAAAAATGGCCCTCAAGGAGTGAGTGAGTATGATTTTACGCCGCTTTTAGCAAGACACAATAATGAGTGAGTGAGTATGGTTTTACGCCAAGTTTAGCAATATTCCAGCAATATCATGGCAGGGGACACCAGAAATGGGCTTCACACATTGTACCCATGTGGGGATTCGAACCTGGGTCTTCTTCATGACGAGCGAATGCTTTAACCACTAGGCTACCCCACCGCCCTTAGACACAATAAAGCCTGACCAGTCTATCCCTGCTTTATCACCAGCTGATCAACACAGGCAGCATAACACAAAATGTACCATGTTTAATGGGCAAGTTAAGAACATGGCAACTTTTCACATGTTAATACTTTGGGGCATGTTTAATCACAAATGCCCACCGAAATAAAATTTGAAAGCTGAAATCATGGTGGTTCCAACTTAAGGAAAATGTTTTTCAAAACTGACTCAAAACAGTCAATTGCAAATTGAGATGCTTAAGATTGGACAAGTATCCTTGGAATTATATTTCCATGCACTAAATATTCAAACACATTCAAATTGAAATAAAAGTTTAAAAATATCAAGAAAGGAACTATTTCACAGAAGATCTATTGCAAGGCATACATTTTGTAAATAGGTATACATATATTTGTATTTATTTGCACTGAAATTACAAAATATGCTAAATTGGTACTTGGAGGCTGGTTTATCATGTTTGGTAAAAACTGTGTTGGAAAATCTCACAAATTCTATTCTAAGGCAGTCACGAACATGTAGGTATACTGTTGCAATTACAAAAGTCATTATTTTCGAAAAGATAATCAATTTCTCGTTAACATTCAGCGTGTGTCATCAATAGACAAGCCAGTGTTAAACAGAAATTATACTTCAAAAAAGACATTCAGGAGACAGTTTCAAGTCACCAGGTTCAAGTCCCTCAGTCAATGTTGACATCAAGGACCCTAACAACAAATGATGATGAACTAGTGTTGAGATATACAATATTTCCAGTGTTTGCCATGATGCAGAAAACCTGTGTATTTGACGCACATATTATCTCAAATACGAAGTGAATTTAGAAGTTTGTGTCATTGTTGACGCAATGCTGTTGGGCCCTTAGTTCAGATAATCTAAACTTCTAAAACTAAATGTTTGCCAGTTAACTGCTTAGTGCTGATTAAATACCTGACTTGCCTTGTTTTGTTTTTGTCATTAGGCCAGACCAATTTTATTTCTTGTTTTATGGATCCACAGGTTGTATTTTTTCAAGAATAATAAAAAATAATAATAATTAATTTTCCCCACTCAAAAAATAAAATTTAAATATTTTCATTGGCCAAAATTATAAATGTGCAAGAAAATTTTTTAGATTGTTTTTTTGCCCCATATACACTTCATAATTTGCCAAATGTAAAATATTTTTAGTATTTAAAAGGAATATTACTTTGACTGGTTATTTTTTTTTTTTATTCCCTCCTGCCATTAGGTTTTCTGAGGAAAAACATCAGTAAAACAAGAAATAAAATTGGTGTGGCCTTATTAAACAATCACAGTTGATGTCTTGATGAATGTTCCAAACTGAAGTTGACTCCCAAAATCATGTTCATGACTCCCTCTCATGACACCAGGGAGTCATGATGACTCCTAAATTTCTATGCCTTGGGCAAACCCTGTATTTCCATTCTCAAGAGGGACAATATAAAAATAAGTATTGATCAGAGCTCCAGATAAGATTTAGCTCATGAGGGTACTGTACCCACTGTATTTTTTTGGAGTGGGTATTATAAATGTTGAGTGGGTATTTCATTTTCCGTTACCCACTGCTTTCAAATATGTGCGTATTTCACTCATTTTACTCACCTAAGTATTATGTCATTGAGTAAGTTTACTGAGCAGGTATGTTCTGCCTTATGTCATACCTAATCAAAACCAACTTAAATATATTGGAAATGATTTCATGAAAAATCACTCATCCTATACTGACAGTACAACACTAGTCCTATACTAACAGTACAACTTGATAGCAATCGATGTCTTTTTCATTATGCAAGCGATTTTTATAAATATATTCCGTACGCATTTGTTTTAAACTGTTTTGCAGTATCTAACATTTTAAATGCGTAATTGGTATGCAACAATTATTTTTCAATGCGTAATTTGAAATTTTCTATGCGTATTTTACCCGGATACGCAGCTTATCTGGGCCTCTGTTGATATTAAAAGATGAATACATTATGTATAAAGTCAAGATCATATGGATGAGATGGGGGAATTAGTTTACTGATTGATGACTATCTCACAGTGTATTATATGATAAAACACTTATTACATCACACATTTGTGTAACACAGCGTTATGAAGGAATCTAAACAACATGATCTCTACAAGCAAATCAGGAAAGAAAATCATCATTTCTATCTAACTTCAGAATAACATGTTAATCATTATCTTAAATACAGGTGTTTTTTGACATTGCAATATTATTAAATGTGATAATTCAATTTTATAATACTTGTCGAGAAAGCATATCTTTTTAGTCATATGTTTCCATGAGTATATATCACCAGGCTCCGATTTCTCGAAACAAACTTAAGTTTTTACTCAAATTTCGAACTGAGTTTGAAAATTGAAACAGCTGAATTTTTAACTTTTTATAATAAAAAAAGCCCAAAGAACTTTAGTAATCTATCCACCAAACTCAAATTGTTTGCTATGTTTGAGTTTAATATCGATTTCAGTTTATTCTGGGAAATGCATTATCCTGCATTTTCTCAAATTTGAGTAAAAACTCTAACTTAAGTCAAAACTCAGACTTAAGTTTGTTTTGAGAAATCGAAGCCAGATATGGGAAATTGTTCATTCCAACATGAGATCTTTAACTGCTCCACTGTAGATGTGGGGTTAAGTGTATCTGCTGGACATGAATAAATCCCAGGAATATCATTGATTCTATAACAGAAGAACCATTAGCAGAGAGCATTAGATCTAATCCACCAACTGACACATTTATCAGACAGGTTCATTCTAACCTGTGTCCCATATTGGTTCTCTCCATGACCAGATCAGAATACTGGGCATAGATTCTGATTTGGATTTTCCAGTGCGACTATCCGGTTACGAAATCTATCCGGTTACGCTCGAGTGAAATCGAGCTTGAACAGGCAAATATTGTCCGAGATGATATTTCCATTAATACATTTATACCATCTTCTTGTCACTCATATCATTCCAGCCTGAGATTCCATATTGACTTTTACAAGAGGGATGTTTGCTGGCAATCTCGTAAAAATCACATATGTCACATCAATAGTATATCTCTTTTTGTGATGATCTGACACCCGTGAAGATGTGGGTTAGAAATGCTCTTCAGTAACCCATGCTTGTCGTAAGAGGCGACTAACGGGATCGAGTGGTCAGGCTCGCTGACTTGGTTGACACATGTCATTGTATCCCAATTGCGTAGATCAATGCTCATGCCAATGATCACTGGATTGTCTGGTCCGGACCGCCACTATATAGCTGGAATATTGCTATACATTCTGCATTCAACTAGCAATGACCTTAGTGAGTTACAGCATACACATGACTATCTATTGGAGGTTGAACATTAGGTAAAACTGTTGGAGAGCGTATTTTACATGAAAACAATAGGAGGGTGATCTTTAATTGAAACTATTGGAGAGTGCACACAAGTAGCCCTAAATATTAAACAATAGACTGTCTCTTCGAGTGAGTTCACTGGAGTATTAACTTTCATGGAATGTGAGTCAAACACTGGAATGTGAGTCAAACCCTATCTCTGTGATGGTTCAGACTCCAATGAGTGAGTGAGTGAGTTTAGCTTTTCACCACTTTTAGCAATATTCCAGCAATATTACGGCAGGGGACACCAGAAATAAGCTTCACACATTGTACCCATGTGGGGAATCAAATCCGGGTCTTCGGTGTGATGAGCAAATGAGACTCCAACGAACTCACCCAAAGTGAATATGAATTCTTAAAATTTTAATATCAGTTTTGAATGTCAATACACACTTTTTCCTTAGGTTAAATTTTGTCCTCACATTTACAGCCATACGACTTCCAATTGTGTAACAGAATACACTAGTTCTACAAATTATTGTTGTATATATGCTCAACTTGCTCCAGAAGAACATCTGTTTGGTTACAATAAACAAATTCATAAACTCTCATCATAAGATGAGAAACGCCCCCCTCAGTAGGTCAAGCAAATGATGTCAAAATGGTCGCACGATAAACGTGACAGGTCAGATTTAAAAATATATTGTTAATGAACTGGTGGCATTCACAAGTGTTAGTCATCTTAGATAAATTGGACAATCAATAAAAGATGATAATAAAGATGTGTCAAACAGATAATGAGGTAAATTCATTGACTGCTGTAGAACGTAGTATCAGCCTCAACACAGATCAAGTCAATGGTATGTAAGGGTGGCTACTGAGGGGGAAACAACTACTGGGATAGTGATAGTCTATTGCAACATACTATTGCGACCAATACTATTGTAATAGATTTTTCTCTCATTTAAAGTCATTTCCCAAATGAATGTATAGTTTATATAAAATATAAAGTCGAAGTTGAAGTAGTTTCTGTCTCTTTTAATAACTGACAAACTTGAAACCCACATAAAGTTTAAGAGGTAACAGGGGCGGATAACTCTACATCAAAGTGAATGAATCTGGTACTTCCTGTATTTTGCGCTGCCCATTTATCAATGGAAGTCAATTACTAAACTATCAATAGTCACACATACTATCGATGCATCGATAGTTTGTCGCTTCTACCATCGATTAACTGCTATCGGAGACTCAACAATTGCAATCCATCGACAATTCGATGCATCATTACAGCCCTAATAGTCTGGATGTGCATGTCTTTGTTTCGCTCACCAAGATGAGTCCATACGAGTATATTTCTGAATGGGCATTCAGTAAATGTATTTCCAAAATATGTTAAACAGTCAAGATATTAGCATAATGAGCAACAATCTACACGATTGGGATACGATAATATGCATCAACCCAATCAGCGAGTCTGATCATCCAATCCCTTTTGTTGCCTCCTACGACAAGCATGGGTTGCTGAAGATCAATTCTTACCCGGATCTTCATGGTGTGCTAAACAGTTACTTTAACATTAAAGTGTTTAAATGATTAAAAACAGTGGTAATGTATTTTATACCTGCAGTTATACTGCAGCAGTATCACTGCAGGCGACATTAGAAATAGGATACAAATGTTGTATCTATATGGGATTCAAACCAATGTGTTTGGTGTGACAGACAAACACTTCAACCACAAGGCTACCCACAACCCTGTCTACTTAGGAGTGAGTGAGTGAGTATGGTTTTACGCCGCTTTTAGCAATATTCCAGCAATATCATGGCTGGGACACCAGAAATGGGCTTCACACATTGTACCCAGGGAATCGAGACCGGGTCTTCGGTGTGACGAGTGATCGCTTTAACCACGAGGCTACCACTGCCCTGTCTACCAAAGAATACACAGTAAAGTTTTCTCCCCTCACCTGAAGTATGTTCAATATGTTTGTATGGGCAATGTATTCCACGCCAACATCTGCCAGGAGTGTTGAAGTACCTGCAGATCCTCTTTTCATCCTTGGCCTCTGAAAACATACACAATGATCATCAGTACACAGGTTCAAAACTATTCCTTGTCAGTTATAGAGGTAATCACAATTACAAACAAAAAAACAAACCAAGCAAAACAAATGTTTGTGACTAATATGGCAATGTCCCCCGCCGCTAAAGAAGAATGAGGTGGGGTGAAATTGGGTTTTACGTCGTGCTTGAGAATATTTCGCTCATATGACGACGTGCATGCGTGTGTATGTGTATGTGCGGCTGCTTGTACTAGCCCAGTCCCCACATGGGCACAATGTGTAAGCTATTTCTGCCCCATGCGTGATATTGACTTATTGCTAAAAGCTGGTTATATAGTGCTCAGTTGCCCACTGAGATACCATGCCGCAGTGAAGCATGAATACCCCACTCAGACACATTATACTGACTCCGAGCTGACCAGTCCTTGTTGTACCCATTAATGCCGAACGCCAGGCAGGGACAAAGAAGAATGAAATATTTATAACATATTTACTACTGTTTATTTTTTGGTCACATACAAGAAATGACTGGTGTCTGCAAAATCACCCAATGTAGGCTGTTGACATAATTGAAGACACTGGGTGCAATGTTTAATGAGATATCGCGTTTACATAAGTTTGAAAAGTGGTCAGTGTGTCGTTATGACCTTGAACATAAGGTCAAGGTCACCCAAATCAACTGGTGTCTGCATAATCCCCCAATGTAGGCTGTTACCAAATTTGAAGACATTGGGTAAAATAGTTCATGAGATATCGCGGTAACAGGAGTTAGAAAAGTGGTCAAAGTGTCATGGTGACCTTGAAAATAAGCTCAAGGTCAAGTTCAAAGGTACTGAGTGTGCTCAAAGATACTGAGTGTTCAAAGGTACTGAGTGTGTTCAAGGGTACTGAGTGTGTCCAAAGGTTTCAAGGGTACTGAGTGTGTTCGAGGGTTCAAGGTGTACTGAGGTACTGAGTGTGTTCAAGGGTACTGAGTGTGTTCAAGGATACTGAGTGTGTTCAAGGGTACTGAGTGTGTTCAAGGGTACTGAGTGTGTTCAAGGGTACTGAGTGTGTTCAAGGGTACTGAGTGTGTTCAAGGGTACTGAGTGTGTTCAATGATACTGAGCAATATCAAGGATACTGGGGTGTTCAGGAGGTACTGATGGGGAGTGTGTTCAAAGATACTGAGTGTGTTCAAGGAACTGGGTGTTCAAAGGGTACTGTGTTCAAAGATACTGAGTGTGTTCAAGGGTACTGAGTGTGTCCAAAGGTACTGAGTGTGTTCAAGGGTACTGAGTGTGTTCAAGGGTACTGAGTGTGTTCAAGGGTACTGAGTGTGTTCAAGGGATACTGAGTGTGTTCAAGGATACTGAGTGTGTTCAAAGATACTGAGTGTGTTCAAGGGTACTGAGTGTGTTCAAAGGTACTGAGTGTGTTCAAAGATACTGAGTGTGTTCAAGGGTACCGAGTGTGTCTCAAACTGAGTGTGTACAAGAATCAGAGTGTGTTCAAGGATACTGAGTGTGTTCAAAGGTACTACTGAGTGTGTTCAAAGGTACTGAGTGTGTTCAAGGGTACTGAGTGTGTTCAAGGGTACTGAGTGTGTTCAAGGGTACTGAGTGTGTTCAAGGGTACTGAGTGTGTTCAAGGGTACTGAGTGTGTTCAAGGGTACTGAGTGTGTTCAAGGGTACTGAGTGTGTGTTCAAAATGAGTGAGTGAGTGAGTTTAGTTTTACTGCAGCTTTTAGCAATATTCCAGCAATATCAAGGGTACTGCGGGGACACCAGGAATGGGGAGTGTGTTCAAAGATACTGAGTGTGTTCAAGGGTACCGTGTGTGTTCAAAGATACTGAGTGTGTTCAAAGGGTACTGAGTGTGTCCAAAGGTATTGAGTGTGTTCAAGGGTACTGTGTGTGTTCAAGGGTACTGAGTGTGTCCAAAGGTACTGAGTGTGTTCAAGGGTACTGTGTGTGTGTCAAGGGTACTGAGTGTGTTCAAATGAGTGAGTGAGTGAGTTTAGTTTTACGCTGCTTTTAGCAATATTCCAGCAATATCACGGCAGAGGGGGACACCAGAATGGGGAGAGTGTGTTCAAAGATACTGAGTGTGTTCAAGGGTACTGAGTGTGTTCAAAGATACTGAGTGTGTTCAAGGGTACTGAGTGTGTTCAAAGGTACTGAGTGTGTTCAAGGGTACTGAGTGTGTTCAAAGGTACTGAGTGTGTTCAAAGATACTGAGTGTGTTCAAGGGTACTGAGTGTGTTCCAGGATACTGAGTGTGTTCAAGCGTACTGGTACTCAGTGTGTTCAAGGGTACTTGAATTGATATGTTATAATATCTACACAAATAATGCTCAAAACCCATCAATGTTTTTTCTCAGGAAAACTCAACAGAAGTAACAAAACAGTAGAATAATCATAACCAAGCTATCGAAATGACAAAAAACTGCAAACTCATCCCATCTGCTGTACCACACAGTCTTGATCCAACATGATGCAGACACTATACACACTGACACTATTGGACTATCACTGATATAATACACACAAAACTACATAAATTATTCACAAGCCTACAGTTTGTTAATCTTGTCTTCTCCAGTGTATAGTCAGCCTCAATGATTGGCTGTTACTATGGTTACGTCATAAACGCTTGTTAATAATATCAGAGTCCCAGCTTGATGTTCCGGCCATACACCTGTAATAACGATGTTACCTGATGTTGACCAATGTTGCCTGATGTTGACTGGAAGCCTTTCAGACACGATCTAACATCACCTTCAAGTTATGTATTGAGTACGAACATGGCATGCACCACTTTGTAGGACCAAGGTTTGCTTATTTCAGAGTCAAATCGGGATGATTTGTACGTGGGACTGACAACGTGATGTCCCGGACAGATGGTATTGACTAACGGCAATGTATAATTACACTCTGTCATCTCAATCTGATGGAACCTTTTCAGGATGCTGGATGCTTCATATGTGATCATGAACATAGTCGCATGTTCGATAATGAGGTCAAATAAAATCAAGAAAATCTCAAGCTGTCAAGAATACCTCAATGCTTATGGAGTTGTGCTCAACTGGTGTGTTTTTGTTGTGGTTATCCTGTAGTGTTTGAATACCAACAGAGGTGTGAGTCAACAGCTATATTCCAGCTTTGTCATGGTAGCTCCTAAATAGTCACATCTTGTCCAGACTACGGTTGCAACAATTCACTCAGACCTCAATTCTAGTGTTGGGAATCAGAAACCAAATCCACTATCAATTATCAGAGGACTTGTGGTGAACGATTATCGATTATAATCGAAATATATACATTTTTAATGTAATCACCAATTTTAAGGGTTTTGCCCAGGTTTTTTCTAGTTAATGGGTTTTTTATAACTAATACTGTCATGCAATGAAATGCACTGGAATTGTAATTAAACAATAAAAGTGGTTAAAATTTTACAATGCGCATAACTTTACGCTGTTGAGCGCATGTTTGTTCGTGAATATTCATCAAATTAAATGGTAAGTATACATAATTCAAGGGTGTTATACAAAAACAACAAAATTCCAATTAATAAAAATTATTTTTTTTACACTCGATAATCATTTTTAATCCTTCTTTTGATCGATTTTCGATTTTTTCGATCATCGGAACACCACTACTCAATTTAATTCAATTTCGATATTGGGCCCTCAATTTGATCATTTTCGATTCGATTCTTCATACAAGTAAAAACATCAGATTTCATTTCATTCTCAGAGTCAGTCCGGCGTCAACCAATCACATTTCGCCTTTTTTCAGAGCTCGAAACTGCTCAAGTTGGAGTCAAAATTTCTATCTGGCTGTGTGGAAACAATTTAAATAGGTATTCAAATATCAAATCGAAATAGTGATAATGGTTATAAAATATTGAAACTAACGCGTCAGATTCAATTTTTGATGAATCGAACCGAATCATTGCAGCCCTAGTCCAGACCTACCAGTTTTATGACTCGAGGCTCTATAGTTTTTTCATTATATTTGAACAGAACTGTGTGCTTTCATCTCTCCTCAACCCGAACCCAATCTCAATTGTGACAAAAAGTTTTTGGCCACCCAATTCTTTCTGTGTGTCACTGTGTTTGTGGTTTTTCATGGTTCATTTGTTCCTTGTTCACGGTTGTTCATGGTTCGTCATTGTTCATGGATGTTCATGGTTGATGGCTGTTGATGGCTCGTTTGTTCCTTGTTCATGGCGAAACCCATGGTATGGAACTGATAAGCTTTGGAAATAAACAGAATCAAGCTATGAGGTTTCCGGAGTATGTGCAACTGTCCATAGAGAACTTCAGTGGCCTTTAACAAATTTGACACTCATGCTCCATCTTGACAGAGAGATCATGTCTGAGTGAAAGAAATTACAGCAAACTAGTGCCTTTAAAATATTTAGCCAGTTCCACAGAGGTTGTTTGTTGGTTGTTTAACGTTGTACTCAGCAAGTTTTAAGCAATTCTGTTGATCAATTCTAGACCAGGCAATCTAGTGATTGACATCAGGAGCATCAATAAACACAATTTGGATATGATAGCATACATTAACCAAGTCAGCAAGTCTGACTAACCGATCTTGTTAGTTGCCTCAAGCATGGGTTGCTGAAGACCAATTATAACCTTGATCTTCACGGGTTCCAAACTGTGGAAAAGGCTTTCTTGTTTTTGAGTGAGTGAGTTAATGAGTGAGTATGGCTTTACACCCCTTTTAGCAATATTCCAGCAATATCATGGCAGGGGACACCAGAAACAGGCTTCACACATTAATTTGTACCCATGTGGGGTATCTAACGCGGGCCTTTGGCGTGACGAGCAAACGCTTTAACCACAAGGCTACCACACTGCCAATCTTCATTTTTGAGGCATACTTGTCACGTCCAATAGGTCTTATACACAGGACACCAATTTAGTGACTGAGTGAGTTTGGTTTTACACCGCTTTTAGCAATATTCCAACAATATCACGGTGGGGGACACCAGAAATGGGCTTCACACATTGTACCCATGTGGGGAATCGAACTCAGGTCTTCAGTGTGACGAGCAAACGCTTTAACCACTAATCTACCCCACTGCCCCTGACACCAATTTAAAGGTACGCAACAGATTTACTGTCTCATTAGCCTTCTAACCTTTCCATCCATGGAGAAAATATTGCTATTGTTGAAATCGTGCTTAAATGTACAAAGGTGTGTCATCAAATGCCTCATTAAATTCAACTTTCATCTACCGGGTAACTTTTAACTTTGTCATGCTTATATTTTATGTTTATATTATATTTTAAGCATAGGGCTAAACTAGTACTTAATCTAAGGCAGGGTACAATTTTATTTTTTTAATTAGACCAGGAAGGATATTCATAGCCAACTTCACTATCGCCAGTACATCTCACCTTATTGCATGTCTGACGTTTTTCTTTCAGAAGTTTAATTTCTTTTCCGCTTGAGTGAGTAAGTGAGTATGGTTTTATGCTGCTTTTAGCAATATTCCAGCAATATGACGGAGGGGGGGGACACTAGAAATGTGCTTCACACATTGTACTCTTCCGCTTGAAGGCATTCAGCTAAATCAGCTTCGATCACAAGATTGTGTACACAGTGTGTGGTCTACGTAACTGATTTCTGAGCATGAAAACAGATCTTTTTACAGTTTTTTACTTTGGGAATCAATTCACCTGATACACACAATAGGAAAAGACCTATTTCATGCAGCAAATTCAAGCCAATAAATTGCTGCCATGTATATTTGGTTTAAATGCTACCTGCACTGAGTGCAGTGTGACAATGCATAGTTGCTTGGCAACAGTACAAGGATCTATACACAACAAAAAAAGAAGTTGTCATCCATACAGTATCTTGCCTATGAAATATTATTACGTACAAACAGGTAAAACTCATTGCATTCTGTTGTGCAAACTGAAAGCATGTTCATCCGATTCAAATAGATCAGGCAGAAAATGATTTTGCTTTCAAGATGAAAATCAATGTCTAGTGCCATAAGCATGGATTAGTACAATTGTTTCTTACAAGATTACATTTGCTGCTGAGACACAGGAGTATTTGACAAGTACAGTATTAGCTAAAAACAATGCTGCTTGTCTTCCATTGTCTTATCCACGTAATTGGATAATTAATATGGAAGCTCTGATCTTGTTTTGGAATTATGAATGAAAAGGATGACACAGGTCCTCTGTGTTTTGTGATCAGACAAGCTGTGTGGTATAGAAAGCATGTGTGATTAGCATGTCATGCTGATTGACACCTGTCAATCAAAGTGTCAATGGCCTGTGACATGTGGAACATACAGGTGATTGATGTCAAATGAATCTGAATAGCAACTGAAGTTTAAAAAAGTAAGGATTATACCAATATCAATTTCTGTGACACTTACTGAATGAATTTCATTATTTTTCTATTAATTAAGTAATATTCAATAAAATCCAATTCAGCAACTTTGGAAAAGGTATTACTGACAGATTAAGGGTTTTCGGATGTCACTTGTTTTCGGACGGCAGTGTTTCCTCGGTCTACAACAAGGCGGGTTGAATGACATTGTAAATAATCTGATGACTTCCATCAAAGAAATAAGGCTTTGTATAAAAGGGGTATCCAGTGGCCAAATTGTATCTATTTGATCAAATTGTCCCTAAAACATTAGGTTGTACTTTTCTTAAATTTGAATTTTATCGTTTTATGGACTGTTAATTCAATAATAGACTGGCACGTCTTGAGATGACTGCAAAGCTGTGTTAAACCAAGCTCACTCATTTTCTACAAAATCATCAGATAAAATCAATTGTCAGTCACGTACATTTGTACAAATACATTTCAACTGTTCTAATATATTCTGCTCGGAACTTTAATTTCCAGTTGGTTGAATCAGAAACACATCTCAAGACAAATGCTGGGCGTGATTCTACAAATATTACGAATCAATATAACCATAAGTCTACATAATTATAATGGCGAGTTTTTCTTCACCCCAGCTGACACTAATGACCTCATCTTCTTTATTAGTTTCCACACAATGCAGTAACCAAACCACAATTGATTGCTGTCCCAAAGCACTAGCGATGGCCTGTTTCGCATCTAGATGTCTTTGATATATTTGGTCACAGAAACCTCATCAAGGCATTGATCACTTGACAAGAATCATTTTTCAGATTGCTCAGTAATATCATCTGCAATCCATTATTTCTAGTTCCTTAATGGAGTGATGATTGAACGTCGATAATTAGATTTTATGGAATATTTCAAACATAATGCGTTCCTAATGACTGGTTTTCTTTGTCATTAATGTAATGGACCATGTGTGGCCTGTAATGTCCACTGAATAAAGGATGGGCTTCAGATCGAAGCTGACATATGTACGGAGACTTCAAAATATGAGCTGGTCCACTTGCTTGAGACAACTAAATTGTGCCAAGGTCAAGTGAAAGTCCAGTAATGGGAGTACTCACTGACAAGTAGTATTTGAGGGATGTTATTCTGAATTAGTACTCAATACTAAATGTTTGCTACAAATTGGAAATTGATAATACTCAGGGTTTTACGCAACACGCAAATATGCGTCCAGTCCCAGTTGCCTCGTGGTTAAAGCGTTCGCTTATCATGCCAAAGGCCCGGGTTCGATTCCCGAATGGGTACAATGTGTGAAGCTCATTTCTAGTGTCCCCTGCTGTGATATTGCTGTAATATTGCTAAAAGCAGCGTATAACCCAACTCACTCACTCACTCACTCACTCACTCATTCATTTTCCATTACAGTCAAAGAAAGGACACATTTAAAATCAGTTGAAGTTAAGCAATATTGGGCACAGAGTCCTTGGATGGTTGACCATGTTTCGCAGCTTGACTCTTCAGAGTTTCTAGGTCTTCAGTCCTGCTCCACAAAGAAGCACATGTGATACATGTGGCCTCACCATAGGCAAGTGAGTTTGTTAAAAATTGCCTCTGTTCACCCAGCAAAAAATGGGT